TTCTCCTGATTTTTGTATATTCTATGAAATTTCCTAAAAATCAGCAATGTATGCTAGGGGGGAAAAAAAGGTAAAGAATGTTTGTGCCAGCTTTCCTTTGATACACCAGTATCTGTGCAAGTTGATACTTCATTAAATCTATTGAAGAAGCAGCTCTTTGTAGAATTTGGTAAATTACAAGTTAAATATTTTTCTTAAATGAAATTTTATAAAGGTAAAGTTCTTTTTTATGTGCTTCATATTGGAAATATGAATTTAAATTACTATATTAATGAAGAGAGATTCATGTAAGACTATTTATACTTTTTTGTCCAAAACCTTAAATTTTTTACATTTAATCCTGCAAACATAAATAAATTAAAAACATTTTATATTAATGAAATTCTTATGCATTAAGAATTTTTAATGTAATCATTACAGTATTAAAAAAAATATATTAATATTATTTTTTATTTATCTTTTAATAATAAAACTTTTCCCTTTTTTAGTATATATTTTTCAAATACAAATACTTTGGTTTTGTCCAGAAATAGAGAATTCTTGTTTACTCATAAAGGCTTCCCCATTCAATTCGAAAAAGTTATACTTCTCAGATCTATACCACATAACTATTCATTTGGATTTAACACTTACAGACATTGCACTAGTTTAAACCTTTCATAATGGATACATTGAAATATTTATTAGAAAGCTGTAAACTTTTTTTTTACACATTAATAAATATTGAGTGTAGTTAGTACCTCTGAGTTCTGTTAAAAATACATGACTTTTTCTATTATTTTCTATATTTGATCATTTGTGATCTGACTCAATTTTGACTTAGGGGTTTTGAATTTGCTGAAAGTGTAGTTCTAACATCTGAATGTGAAATGGTTTAACAAAAACCTTGTAAAGAATAATGTTAATTGGACTAATTTGCAGAAATTTTACATTTTTCTTTAACTCCCACAATGCACAATTTTGTTATTATGTTAAAAAATATTCAAGCTAGTAATTTTTTAATTTGTGGCTTTAAGCCATATTAAAGCCATTTTACATTAAAACAGCATCTAGAATTTAAGAACAAATCAGCTCAACAAAACAGTTTTGGTTGAACTTTTAATTTATTATAATTTGTGTGTTATATCATTTTTCCCACTTGATTTAACTAGATAGTAATTAATTTAATAAATTAATTTAATATCCTACTAGTAGGAATAAATTTAGCAGATATAAATTATTTTTCACTAAAAGCAATGTTAAAATTTAGTATTTAAAACAAATAGTTTTGTAATCATTCCTTATTGCAGCATGCAGTCTGAGCATTTCACATTTGGTTATGTTTGTGTCGAAAATTTTCATCAGTTGAATGAACAAAAAATGATCACACAATGAACAAAACATGTTCATTGAATAACAAAACCAAAAACTGATTTTTAGCTAGCAAAAACAACATGTGATTGGATAACTTTAGACATTGCATGCTTCGGGTGACTATTAATTTTGTTCTATACTCTCAATGCGCAAAGAATAAGAAAGTTTAAAAAAAAGAAAATTGGAATTTATGTTGCCAAATATAAAACTTCGACATTTCCTACCGACATTTGAAAATTTATGTAGAATAAAGAGAAATATGAACTGTTTCCTATATGATCTGCTAACAAGAAAAAATTACTTCTAATTTATTAATTCTTATTGTGTCGCACATTCTGCCTCTCTAAATGTAATTTAAGCACAGTTATTTATTATTCAAATCCAGCTATCCTTTTTATTTTGTTACAATTAACAATTTAATATAATGTACTTAAATAAAAGTGTAATAATTTTATATTTTGTAGACAAAATGGTTTTTAATCGATTTTTCAGGAAGAAAAAAAAAACTTTTAAGTACAATGTTGAAGAACGGTTTGTGCCCAATGCCACTAGTTCTGAGAAAAAAATAACAAACTTCAGAATGATAAACTGCTTTTTCCAGAGAACATCTTCAATCCGTAATAACTCTCGGCGAAACCGTTTTTCCTTGTTTTTCATTTGTCAAAACTTAGTAATCCTTAAAATGTGATTATTATTTTGTATTGTTATGTTTCTTTCATTTTCCTACAACTAGGGAATATTACTGGTGAATGAGTAATTTTTCACAGAATGTATTTTTATTTAAATCTTATATCGACTTCGTAGAAGAAAAAATCGGTAACTTTTTTTTAAATCATGCTGTAACTTATGTATTTTTTCCAGCTTTAAATACGATGCTATTTTTATTAACACTTGAATTGAAGTATGTGATGAATGTAAGTGTAGAGAAAGATTGAAACAGAGAAATTTAATGTTTAATTTCGTCTAATTTTCTATTAAAAGAATTGAGTTTTAAAATAAAACTCAATGACGCAATTCTGGTTTTGAATAACTATACCCTACAAGACCCTACTCTTTATATTTTCTGCCATCTATCTGCAGGACTCGAAAACACGTCTAAAATAAAAAATTAAAAAACAGCGCCATCTATGTATTGCATTCAAAACAGTTTTTTTTCCTTAATGTATATAAACTATTTTAAAAATAAAT